GCAATTGTGAACGGGAGTTCACTCAAGATTTGGCTCTCTGTTTATCTGTTACTGGTGTATAAGAATGCTTGTGATTTTTGCACATTGATTTTGTATCCTGAGACTTTGCTGAAGTTGCTTATCAGCTTAAGGAGATTTTGGGCTGAGATGATGGGGTTTTCTAAATATACAATCATGTCATCTGCAAACAGGGACAATTTGACATCCTCATTTCCTAATTAAATACCCTTTCTTTCTTTCTCCTGTCTGATTGCCCTGGCCAGAACTTCCAACACTATGTTGGCTAGGAGTGGTGAGAGAGGGCATCCTTGTCTTGTGCTAGTTTTCAAAGGGAATGCTTCCAGCTTTTGCCCATTCAGTATGCTATTGTCTGTGGGCTCTTATGATTTTGAGGTACGTTCCATGAATACACAGTTTATTGAGAGTTTTTAGCAGGAAGTGCTGTTGAATTTTGTCAAAGGCATTTTCTGCATCTATTGAGATAATCATGTGGTTTTTGTCTTTGGTTCTGTTTATATGATGGATTGCATTTATTGATTTGCGTATGTTGAACCAGCCTTGCATCCCAGGGATGAAGCCCCCTTGATCGTGATGGATAAGCTTTTTGATGTGCTGCTGGATTCGGTTTGCCAGTATTTTATTGAGGATTTTCGCATTGATGTCCATCAGGGATATTGGTCTAAAATTCTCTTTTTTTGTTGTGTCTCTGCCAGACTTTGGTATGAGGATGATGTTGGCCTCATAAAATGAGTTATGGAGGATTCCCTCTTTTTCTATTGATTAGAATAGTTTCAGAAGGAATGGTACCAGCTCCTTCTTGTACCTCTGGTAGAATTCAGCTGTGAATCTGTCTGGTCCTGGACTTTTTTTGGTTGGTAGGCTATTAATTATTGCCTCAGGGTCTATTGTTGGTCTATTCAGGAATTCAACTTCTTCCTGGTTTGGTCTTGGGAGGGTGTATGTGTCCAGAAATTTATCCATTTCTTCTAGATTTTCTAGTTTATTTGTGTAGAGGTGTTTATAGTATTCTCTGATGGTAGTTTGTATTTCTGTAGGATCAGTGATGGTATCCCTTTGCCATTTTTTATCGCATCTATTTGATTCTTCTTTCTTTTCTTCATTAGTCTTGCTAGCAGTCTGTCAATTTCATTGATATTTTCAAAAATCCAGATCCTGGATTCATTGATTTTTTTAAGGGTTTTTTGTGTTTCTATCTCTTTCAGTTCTGCTCTGATCTAAGTTATTTCTTGCCGTCTGCTAGCTTTTGAATTTATTTGCTCTTGCTTCTCTAGTTCTTTTAATCATGGTGTTAAGGTGTTGATTTTAGATCTTTCCTGCTTTCTTTTGTGGACATTAGTGTTATAAATTTCCTTCTACACACTGCTTTAAATGTGTCCCAGAAATTCTGGTACATTGTGTCTTTGTTCTCATTGGTTTCAAAGAACATCTTTATTTCTGCCTTCATTTCATTATTTACTCGGTAGTCATTCAGGAGCAGATTGTTCAGTTTCCATGTAGTTGTGTGGTTTTGAGTGAGTTTCTTAATTCTGAGTTCTAATTTGAGTGCACTGTGGTATGAGAGACAGTTTGTTGTGATTTCTGTTCTTTTACATTTGCTGAGGTGTGCTTTGCTTCCAATTTTGTGGTCAGTTTTAGAATAAGTGCAATGTGGTGCTTAGAATAATGTATATTCTGTTGATTTGGGCTGGAGAGTTCTGTGGATGTCTATTAGGCCTGCTTGTTGCAGAGCTGAGTTCAGGTTCTGAATATCCTTGTTAACCTTCTGTCTCGTTGATCTGTCTAATATTGACAGTGGGGTGTTAAAGTCTCCCATTGTTATTGTGTGGGAGTCTAAGTCTCTTTGTAGGTCTCTAAGGACTTGCTTTATGAATCTGGGTGCTCCTGTATTGGCTGCATATATATATTTAGGATAGTTAGCTCTTCCTGTTGAATTGATCCCTTTACCATTATGTAATGGCCTTTATTATCTCTTTTTATCTTTGTTGGTTTAAAGTCTGTTTTATCAGAGACTAGGATTAAAACCCCTGCTTTTTTTTGCTTTCCATTTGCTTGGTAGATCTTCCTCCATCCCTTTATTTTGAGCCTATGTGCGTCTTTGCATGTGAGATGAGTCTCCTGAATACAGCACGCTGATGGGTCTTAATTCTTTATCCAATTTGCCAGTCTGTGTCTTTTCATTGGGGCATTTATCCCATTTACATTTAAGGTTAATATTGTTATGTGTGAATTTGATCCTATCATTATGATGTTCACTGGTTATTTTTCCCATTAATTGATGCAGTTTCTTCACAGCATCGATGGTCTTTACAATTTGGCCTGTTTTTGCGGTGGCTGGTACCAGTTCTTTCTTTCCATGTTTAGTGCTTCCTTCAGGAGCTCCTGTAAGGCAGGCCTGGTGGTGACAAAATCTCTCAGCATTTGCTTGTCTGTAAAGGATTTTATTTCTCCTTCACTTATGAAACTTAGTTTGACTGGATATGAAACTCTGGGTTGAAAATTATTTTCCTTAAGAATGTTGAATATTGGCCTCCACTCTCTTCTGGCTTGTAAGGTTTCTGCCAAGTGATCCACTGTTAATCTGATGGGCTTCCCTTTGTGGGTAATCCGAACTCTTTCTCTGGCTGCCCTTAACATTTTTCCCTTCATTTCAACCTTTGTGAATCTGACAATTATGTGTCTTGAGGTTACTCTTCTCGAGGAGTATCTTTGCAGTGTTCTCTGTATTTCCTGAAGTTAAATGTTGGCCTGCCTTGCTAGGTTGGGGAAGTTCTCCTGGATAATATCCTGAAGAGTGTTTTCCAACTTGCTTCCATTCTCCCCATCACTTTCAAGTATACCAATCAAACGTAGATTTGGTCTGTTCATATAGTCCCATATTTCTTGGAGGTTTTGTTCATTTCTTTTTACTCTTTTTTCTCTAACCTTGTTTTCTCACTTTATTTCATTAATTTCATCTTCAAACACTGATACCCTTTCTTCCACTTAATCGAATCGGCTATTGATGCTTGTGCATGCCTCACGAAGTTCTCGTGCTATGGTTTTTAGCTCCATCAGGTCATTTAAGGTCTTCTCTACACTGCTTATTCTAGTGAGCCATTCATCTAATCTTTTTTCAAGGTTTTTAGCTTCCTTGTGATGGATTTGAACATCCTCCTTAGCTTGGAGAAGTTTATTATTACCAACCTTCTGAAGCCTACTTCTGTCCACTCGTCAAAGTCATTCTCCATCCAGCTTTGTTCCATTGCTGGCAAGGAGCTGTGATCCTTTGGAGGAGAAGAAGCACTCTGATTTTTAGAATTTTCAGCTTTTCTGCTCTGGTTTCTCCCCATCTTTGTGGTTTTGTCTACCTTTGGTCTTTGATGTTGGTGACCTACAGATGGGATTTTGGTATAGATGACCTTTTTGTTGATGTTGATTCTATTTCTTTCTGTTTGCTAGTTTTCCTTCTAATGGTCAGGTCCCTCAGCTGCAGGTCTGTTGAAGTTTGCTGGAGGTCTACTCCAGACCCTGTTTCCCTGGGTATCACCAGCGGAGGCTGCAGAACAACAAATATTGCAGAACAGCAAATATTGCTTCGTCCCAGAGGGGCAGCCACCTATATGAAGTGTCTGTCGGCCCCTACTGGGAGGTGTCTCCTAGTTAGGCTACACGGGGGTCAGGGACCCACTTGAAGAGGCAGTCTGTCCCTTCTCAGAGCTCAACTGTCATGCTGGGAGAACCACTGCTGTCTTCAGAACTATCAGACAGGGACGTTTAAGTCTGCAGAAGTTGTCTGCTGCCTTTTGTTCAGGTATGCCCTGCCCACAGAGGTGGAGTCTAGAGGCAGTAGGCCTTGTTGAGCTGTGGTGGGCTCCACCAAGTTCCAGCTTCCTGGCCACTTTGTTTACCTACTCAAGCCTCAGCAATGGCAGATGCCCCTCCCCCACCCAGGCTGCTGTCTTGCAGATCGATCCCAGACTGCTGCACTAGCAGCGAGCAAGGTTCTGTGGGCGTGGGACCTGTCGAGCCAGGCACAGGAGAGAATCACCTTGTCTGCCGATTTCGAAGACCTTGGGAAAAGTGCAATATTTGGGTGGGAGTGCCCCATTTTTCCAGGTAGTCTGTTACAGCCTCTCTTGGCTAAGAATGGGAAATCCTGTAACCCCTGGTGCTTCTGGGGTGAGGTGATGCCCCGCCCTGCTTCAGCTCACCCTCCATGGGCTGCACCCACTGTCCAGCCAGTCCCAGTGAGATGAACCAGGTACCTCTGTTGGAAATGCAGAAATCACCCGTCTTCTGCATTGATCACATTGGGAGCTGCAGACTGGAGCTGTTCCTATTCGGCCATCTTGGCAAGTGTATTATTTTCTATCCCTATTTGAAAAGAAGATTAGAAATAGTTTACATTCACATAGAGTGGATAACAGGATTCATTTAGAATTTTTCTCTAGGGTTACATTTGCTCTTTTTCCCTCCATCATAATATAGTAGAAGAGATTTGGACTTCTCATAAAACGTAACATTGATCCAATCCATCAGTGATTTTATACTAGTAGGCAAAATAAGCAAAGTGTAGCCAGCATGCTGGAAGGACCAAATAAAACACATGTGCTACAAAGGACAGGAGATAGACTCTGGAAAACTATGTAAGTTCCAGAGGTTTCTGTCCATAAGTGACATGCTTCAGATCTCTCATTTCATTAAGAAGAGGAAGTTACAAGGTCAAGCCCAATATTCATTAGACTAGGAAGTATTTGCTCCCACCAGAAAGAGAAACATATTGTTTTTTAAAAAAATAACTTACTGCAATAGATATAATCATTTTCTGTGTGTGTAAGATAAGACAATATTTCTTTCTACTTGCATCGACAGGGTATGCATAGGAACAAAAGCATGATCAGTAAGTACATTATCTTTTTGAAATTAAATTTCCTTAGTCTATTACTGACATTTGATTTATATTAAGACTGATAATTCAACTGACATGTTTGCATTTTAAGGTGCTCAAGGTGCTCCATTTGCCTGTTTTAAAGAAGTTAATTCTCTGCATGAAAGATCTGAAAACTGTGGTTTTAAAAATTCACAACCATTACCATGTGAAAAGAAGTACGTATGTAGAAAATGATTACTTATTTGAATCATAAAAATTATGTATTTTTATCAAGAGATACTAAGTAGTAATGAACGTTAAATTGTGTAACATGGGAATATTTTCAAATACCAATGCATACTTTTTTTCTATGAAATTCAGGATTTTATATTATTTTCCCTTGATATCATCCTAAAAATGAGATTGGACAAAAAAAAAAAATGCTAATACTTAGTAACAGAGGAAGAAAATGGACACACAGTGCCAGAAATCAGAACTGCTACTCTATATTGAGAATTCAAATGAGGTTTTGTATTAAGTCTGTAAATAGCAACAATCTTAAAGCAAATCTCAAGCTTTGATTTTTAAGACATAGAATTGTTGAGAAGAAGAAAGTTATTTTTGTTTTTGCTGATTGTGTCCAAAACATCAATATGTAAAGCATGGAAGTATCTGTTAACAGCTAAATTCAGACTATTGGGACGTAGTGTCACTATAATCCATGTAATAAAGGGATTAATGAAATCCAGTAATCTAATAAAGGAAATGCCTACCCCATAACGACTATTTCCTTAATTTTATCTTCCTTAATTTCATTGAAAATTAAAGAGTCACAAAAATGTGTAACAGAGCCAGATTCACAAAATAAGAGAATGGGAATAACATAAAAAAATTAGATATAATTAATTCAGGGAGAAGCAGACGTTTCTTTTAGTCTCAAAGACATAGCCAGGAAAAACCATAATAAAATCCTCAGGTAAGCACCACTATCAGTACTGTTAAAAACAATACGGTTCCTTATGAAGATGAGAAATGGATGAAGAAGGTATCCAGTTGGGTGGGACTAAAGTAGTATCCTCCATCACCCTCCTCCTTATATGAAATTACTATGGATATGTATGCTGTGGAGAAGATGCAGAACTTCCCACTTCCCCCAACACAGGAGGATTAGTACATGGAAAGAAGAAAGGTAGAATCACAAAGAAAGTACTGATGAGTGGGGATCTCAGGAGGAGACCCTGCATAATCAGCCACACCTATTGGATATTAATACAGAGCACCAGGGGCCAGCAGTCTCAGTTACACCACAGTGGATCCCCACAAAGACAGAAGATGGTGGTATGACCACCCCCACTTAATCTTCTTCCTGATGTTCAGAGGCACATTTGCTGCCTTTAATTTAAGATTATTCATAAAAAAAGATAAAAGATACCTGGAAGAAATTGTGAAAGTTAGTAAACATGACTCCTTTGGACTTTGTCTTATGTGATAATAGTACATGAATTTTCCTGAAATATCATCATTAGATGAAACTAAAATTGAATAGCATACATCATCTCATCTAAACAGACTGCGATTCCTTTTCAGAAAAGAAAAAAATAGTTCTAAAAATTTAACTATAAGTGCAAATTTTGGGAAAATGGACTTGGAGGAAGAATTTGTACTCGATAGCCAGACTAGAAGGATACATATGTACTATGCAAGTCTGGTTTAGAATATATTCTATAGAAAGAGAGTGGAGCCAAAATCAAAAGAAATATCGAGACCTGAGAAAGTAGAAAATTTATGCTGGAGAGAAGACAAAAGTGGAATGTAATTTAGGTTTCAGCTCTTAATCTCATTTCAATCTTTACTTCTTGATGTAATTAAGCTTATTCTTCTGATACTGAAAAAGCCTCAAATGGTCTTTTAGGACAAATGGGTAAAATTCCCTAAGAGGAGCCTTTTGATGAAATAATAATGACATGTTCAGTAGACGCAGATCAATGGCTAAAAATGATTATTCTCATTGAGGATGGTATTTGATAATTAGATTTCAATAATTTCAAGTAAAAAAAGTTACATAGATTATCTTTCAGAGCATAGTCTAGAAATACCGTTAGCCTCATAGAGAAGCCAGTATTTTACCCAATGATAGATTACAAATGGCGAAATAAAGCATCTGTGGGATAAGATAACCTTTGGTATGCTTGTGGCATGGAGGGGATCTAAAAGTTCTTAAATTTTTAACAGATAAGTTAAATATGCTGGAAATATCTGTATGTTGGGAGAAATTGTGGGTCAAAATGAAGGGTGTGTATACAGCAGAAATGTACTGTCCATACATCAGGACAAGAATGATAGGCACAATAAAATGTACAGAAAGAGAAATGCAATTAGCCACTCTCAGCAAATTTTGTGTAATGAGTGACCAGGCTGGCCAAGCTATATCAAACCGGGGCAAGTGACTAATTCTCCCAGAGTGTGGTAAAATGTGAATGGTCTAAGACTACTGGAACCTAGAGAACCAAAATTGGGCTCTATAATAGGAAATGAAGTCATGTCTTCACATCTGAGTTAAGCATATACATTTCAATTCTGCTATTAAGACAGTTGCATTTAGTTGTTGTGCACCATAAAATAATGTTTTAGTTTGGCATTTTTCAAGTGTTGTACTGTCAATTAACAGTATTTATGTTACCATCTATGCAGTACTCACTTGGAACTTGTTATCATTAAGAGATAAACTGATAAGGAATTTTTTGCTTTCCACTTCCAGGGATGTTCTCTGTGGAAAATTAGCTTGTGTTCAGCCGCATAAAAATGCTTATAAAAGTGACATTCAATATACAGTTTATTCATATATTCAAGACCATGTCTGTGTATCTATAGCCACTGGGTCCTCCATGAGATCAGATGGAACAGACAATGCCTATGTGGCTGATGGCACCATGTGTGGTCCAGAAATGGTAACAAAATGTGATAATTTATATTCAGCTGTGTTAAATTATGTTGACTATCAGATACTGCATTCCATGATGACTATCACAATTATATTGAATGGATTTAAACTTGTGCTGGCATTTATTTCCCATGTGATGTTTAAATGATAATTAAAACAAGCCTAAGTTATCCAATTACATTGCTTTTTGGATTAAAATACTATCAGTCTTTATGTAAAAAAAGTATATATATATATTTTAAGCACAAGATTTTACTAACTGACATCTGGTAGCTTTAAATTGTAAAATGCTAACACAAAGTTTCCCATTTTCCTTGCTTCACAAAGAACATTAATTGACTTTACATATTTCTTAAATTATTTGATTTGTATCTGATCAAAATACAAGTGTACAAAAGGTTTGAAACCAAACAATCTATACTAGGAAACATTGCTATAGTATGCATATACAGGCTCATGCGTGAATATATATGAACGCTTATATCTATGTCATCATAACATAAAAAGAGGACAAAAAAGCTTTAGAGACTTGGTTAATCTTGCAATATAAGGGCACATGTTCCAGAAAACATGATACTATGTGGCATCTGAAATTTCGCACAATAATTATAAATTAGAGTGTTGCATTTAAATGTCATTTGGTGCTTATTTGATGTGTAAAAATAAAACAAAACCTAGAAATAGAGGATGAATTAGTTAATTGTTATATCTGGTGTCAGCAACCCTAATCCCTTGAGAAACCTTCATGTGGTGATCTGCTCCTGTAATGACTCTCAGTGATCCCACTTTCTGTCATTCATTCCTTTGTGTAATCCCTTCCTTTGCCTGTAGGCTGTATCTAATGACTTGCTTGTAACAAATAAAATGCAAAAGTTTTGGAATGTCACAAGATTAGAGGTTGGAGACAAGAAAGAAGATGAGAACAGATAGTGACTGCTGTTTTGCATGGACTGTCTCCCTTGCGTTCTCAGATTGCTTTGCTGAAGCAAGCTGCCTTCCTGGAAAATCCCACAAGGAAAGCAACTGTGGGACAGTGAAAATCTGAGGCCCTCAGTTCAACAGCCTGTGAGGGACTGAATTCTGCCAAAACCACACAAGCAAGCTATGAAGAGGAGCTTTGCAAGTCAGACCAAGAGATGAGACAACAGTCCCAGAAAGCAGATAACACCTTGATTTCAGCTTGTAAGAGACTGTGAAGCAGAGAACCCAGATAAGATGTGCTTGAATTTCAGACTCACAGAAGCTGTGATATAATAAATATGTGTTGTTTAATGTCATTAATTTTGGTGATAATTTGTTAGGCAGCAATAGATAACTGATACAGATTTGATACCTGGAAATATGGTGTTGCTGTAACAAATACCTTAAAAAGTGGGAAGGAATATAGAACAAGGAAGTAGATAGGGACCAAAAGAATGTTGAAGACCAAGGTACAGAAAGCTCAAATTGCCTGGGACGGACCTTAAGGACAACTCCGGAGTTTAAGGACCTGGCTGGTGAGGGCTCAAGTGGTAGTTAGGAGTATATTATTAAAGACTGGAGGAAGTAAGGTTCTTTTTATATAGTGGCAGAAAGCTTAGCATATTGTCTTCTACACGTATGTGGAAAGTAGAATATGTACATAACTTGGTGATCTAGCTTCTGATCCCTTCTAACAGCTTATAATATAATATGAAATGAAATAAGCTAAGGGAACTGTTAAAATAAAACATAACCATTGATGATTTTGAAAAATCTTAGCCTCTACAGACAGCAAAAGATGCTGAAATAAAGAAATGGATTCCAAGAACTATTAGGAAACCATGGTCAAGAGTGAGGCTATAAAACACAGTTAAAAGTTCCAAAAGATTAGTCAAGATCAACTCTTAACTAATGTTCTACAATAAAAGGCTCAGAATGTTATTCAGTTATACAAAAGTACTTTCAAGAAAGAAAGACTGTGCCTCACAAATCCTCTAATTTTAAAAAGTAGAGCATCTAGAAACTTCAGAGCTTTGTCCTTCAGCCATCTCAGCAGAAGCCCAAGGTAGAAAATGGTTCATTTCAAAGATATTTGAGAGCATGGCTTTTGTTCAATGTAATGAGTCCCAAAGAGATTCACAGGAGACCCACAGTTTTTGAGAAACTGCCAGTAAAGAAAATACAAAATGAAAAGAGGCTGTTGGACCCCCAAAATTCTACTGAGAGGAGGCAGGCTGAGACAATTGCTCAGAGGCAAACGCGTGCTATCTTTCCTGAAAAATGAAGGAATACTTAATGAAATAAGAACAGAGAAGGCAGAACTGAGAGCCAAGAGAGATTATTCAGAAACCTTGAAAGCCAATCAAGGAACTCCCAACATGAGCCCTTCTAGATATTTCAGAATTGCTATGGACTGGTAATTCCTTTTTAGTTCTAATCCTCCCCCCAACACACACACTTTGAATGAAAGTATCTGTAAGTTATTCTATGCCTTTATTACCATTATATATTGTTGGGGTTGGGGACAGATTACTCTCTAATGTCAAAGATCTACAAATGGAGGAGCAATACTCAAGGAAGTATACCCATGAACTTAATCCACAGATGGAGTTAACTCAGATGAAGAAATAGGCTTTGAACTGATGCTATAATGAAATGAGAATGCTGGAGAGCTTGACAATTCTTGTGGTTTTTATGTCTAAAAGATATGCAACATTAGAAGCTGAACTGTGCTGCTCAGCTTTTAAAATGCCCTCCAATATCTTACCATCTTCTGCTTACTCCCTTCATAATACACTTTCCCTACCAACCATGTGAGGGATGGACACAGTGACTTGCTTCTAGCAAATAGAGTATGGAAAAAATGGTGGACTATAACTTACAATATTAGGTTACAACAGATAGTATTTTTCATTTTGTTCTCCTGCCCCTTCTTCATTGCTTACTTGGATGAAACAAGCTGCCATGTTGAAGAGTAATACATGGGAAGAAACTGAGTATGGCCTCCACCCAAAAGACCTTGAGGAAATGAGCATGTTAATACAACAGCCTTCTGACAACCACGTGACAAATTTGGAAGCATATTCATTTTAGTAAAAGCTTCAGATGAAATTGGCTGGCATTTTAATACCAGCCTATGCAAATATCTGAAGCAAAAGACCAAGCTGTGCCATTCCTTTCATCACTCGCAGAAACTGAGATAATACGGGTATTGTTTCCTTGTCCAAAGACAAACTTCTAAGAGTGCAATTTCTGATTTGCAAGCTAAATATGTTTTTGGTTCTATGAGAAACTGCTATACTCTTTGATTGAGTTGCTCTACCATTTTTCATTTCCACTAGCAGTGTGTGAGTGAGAAGTTTCTCCATATGCTCACTGGCATTTGGTGTTAGCACTACTTATTATTTTCTCATTTTTATATGTACATAGTGATATTTGCATTCTTTAATGGTTAATTATATTCAATATTTTTTCAATGAACTTATATGTCATCAGTATATCCTCCTGAGTAAAGCATTGGATCATGTCTAGCCTATTTTAATCAGATTGTCTTTTTTTAAAGTTCAGTTTGTCTTTAAATATCATAAAGGCAAGGTGGCAAATATTTTCTTCTACTCTGTAGTTTGCTTTACTTACTTTTTTTGGTTGAATTGTATAGTTTTATTTGACATACAAAAACCACTTTGAAACACCAAGATGGGAGGATCACTTGAGCTCAGGAATTCCAGACCTGCCTGGGAAACACAGTGAGACCTTGTCTCTAAAAAAAGTAATAATATTTTAAAAAATTAGCCAGGTGAGGTGGCACACACCCGTAGTCTCAGCTACTTGGGAGGCTGAAGCAAGAGGATCTCTTGAGCTCAGGAGATTGGGGCTTTCACACCACTGCACTCCACTCTGGTTAACAAAGCAAGACCCTGTCCCAAATAAATAAATAAATAGAAGATAAATAAATAAACAATAAGTTGATGAGTTTAGAGATAATTATACATCTGTGAAATGATCACTACCTTCCATGTTGTAAGATATTTATAACTTCCAAAACTTTTTCCCAATCTTTTATTTATTTACTTACTTATTTATTATTGTTACCTTTCTCATAGAAGCATTTAACATATGATCTATCCCCTAGGAATTTTTTAAGTACATAATACATTATTGTTAACTATATAAACTGTGACATTCAGTCAATCTCTAGGAATTACTTATCTCAGATAACCAAAATGTTTTAACTTTTGACTAGTATCTCCCCATTTCTCCCTTCCCCCAGTCCCTAGTAACCACCATTCCACTCTCTGCTTCTGTTAAGTTTTATTATTTAAGATTTGTCATATAAGCAATATCATGTAGCATTTGTTTTTCTGTGCTTGGCTTATTTCATTTAGCCTATTGTCCTCTAGGTTCATCCATGTTGTTGCAAATGGCAGGAATTCCTTTTTTATAGCTAAGTAATATTCCATTGTATGTATATACCATGTTTTCTTTATCCATTCATTTATTAATGGACATTTAGATTAGATTTCTTCCATGTTTCGGTGATTGTTAAAAATTCTACATTGAAGAGGGTAGTGTGGACATCTCTTCAGAATCCAGTTCCTTTGGATGTTTACCCAGTAGCGCAATTGCTGGATCATATGGTATTTCTATTTTCAGATTTTGAGAAGCTTATGCACTGCTTCCCATAGTGGCTATATGAATTTTTATTCCCACCAACAGTGTACAAGGGTTCCTGTGTTGGTTTATATTAGGTGTCAACCTGATTGGATTGAAGAATGCCTAGATTGCTGGTAAAGTATTGTTTCTAAGTGTGTCTTTGAGTGTTGCCAGAGGAGATTAACATTTGAGTCAGTGGACTGGGAGAGGAAGACCCACCCTCAATGTGGTTTACAGCCCGACTAGAAAAAAGCAGAAGGAAGAAGTTAGGATAAGCTGACTTGCTGAGTCTTCTGGCTTTCATCTTTCTCCCATGCTAAATGCTTCCTTCCAACCTCTGCCTCTTCTCCAGTTCCAAAGTTGCTTCCCCATTTTCAGGTATCTTTATAGCAA